CCTTAATGTGGGGGAAACTTCTGACGGTTTATTTGGAGCTTCGGCCGGAGAATTCACAAGACATGTCCCGAGCCACGAGTTGACCACACGGTTGAGATCAATTCTGAAGACCCCTTCTGCAGCTCGAGGTTTTAACTACCGTAATTTTCGGACTATAAGCCGCGCCTTTTTCCCTATTTTTCGACGCTGCGGCTTATATAACGGTGCGGCTAATCTATGGATTTTTACAGCTAACGGCCAACACCTTTAACTCTATGGGCTCTATGGCCGGTCCGCGGACCCCCACCTTTAAGCGGCGGGTTCCAACAGGAAAAGCTGGAGGCCGAAAAGTGTGAGACAGGTAGCGCGCAAAAGTAAAAGTGGAACCGAGAGTGGTATGCCGCTGCTGCGGCTTATATTCAGGTGCGGCTTATAGTCCGAAAATTACGGTAGTTCAGAGAGTGATAATCAACATTCTTCATCAGTGAGACTAAACAAATATGGACCCTGACTCTAACTAGAGCTGTCGTCCATAGAAAAGAATGTGCGCCAGCGAACCTACGTTCCAGATAAAAGAAGGGCTTCTCGATGTCCCTGAACAAGAATAAATGTCAGCTTGTGCCCGGTCATAAGCTGGCAACAACAATGCGCCCAAGCTGCCCCTCCTTAAGAGATAGCAGCAATAAGAAAAAGGAGAAATTGATGAACTGTGTCAAAGGTTGAATACCTAAGCAAATTATTCCCCAACACCTAATATATGTATTCATATTTGGTTTGTTCACATTTTACGGACATGGTTAATATGCACCAGGGGATGTCTCACTTTTTTCTGCATCATGGTGAATAAAAGATGCAAATGATATTATACGGCAAAGGGAAAAGCAGATTATTCCCATTCCTCCAGGCAATAGGATGTAAGGCTGTGTCTGCTTTCCTCTGGGTATTTGAATACAAATGAAATCCCCTCAACAGCAAATGTAAGACCGTTCTAATCCTCCTGAATAAACATTAGGGTTGGGCGACATGTTTGAAATCACAATATTATTATGGATATTTTTTACAATATTTGTATAAATCTCCATATTATACACATAATAGCAAATGTAAAATCCCCAGAAATGATCAAAATGATAAGTCCAATAAGCTGTGTCCCACTATTTGCCTGCATGCATTAAATGAAACAAAAACACCTGTTGAAATACATTCCTTAATTGGTCCAATGTTAAAGTAATATGCAATACTCCGTTCAACGAAAACTGAAATATCAAAGTCCAGTAAATGGGCATCTAGGTGTCATCTCAAAACTTGAAACCTAAAAAAAAAGCCGGATGTACCTTCATTATTTGACATATAAATCTATTATATATAATACAATAGAATAGAATAATGCTATGCAACCATGTGCTGCTGTTATCACAGAACTGAGCTTACAGTGTTACACTAGTTTTAAACAGGAGACGTATCCCTGATTGAAAGTCTCGGGCTATCCCTCAACGATGAAGATATTAACCGTACTGCTGTCCTGGCAGCACACCGTGTCCTGCTTACCTTTACTTTGTTCACACAGACACAGACACCCACTAGCCAAAGAGCCTGCAGTTTATTTATAAGCCCAACGGCCATTTCATGAGATGAAGGATCGGAGATGGAAATCTACAGCGTTCACGCTACAGCGACTCTGACACACACACTCTGTTTCCACTGCAGGCTGTCTGTGGACTGATCTTTTGGAATTGAGACACCAGATAAAGAAATCTAACTGAAAGATGGATTACATTATCATCAGTGCTACTGTACATATACAGTCTCTACATTCTCTGTAATCTATATGGGTTTCCTCAATAAGGATATGTATCAAACAAATGTGTTTTCTTAAGTCTGTAGAAAATGAAAGACTTGTAGGGCGGCATATCTCTGCAGCTCCATTCAAAAAGTAACCTTTAACATATATATTGTTCTCCCTCGGATTTGAGTATTGCTCTTGTTCATAATGGGATTAGGATAATGGTTAATGCAGCCCTAAAAGAAAAGGTGTTTGGATGACTCACCTGTGACATACATATCGTTTCCGAGGGCTGCTATGCTGTAGCCTCCTCCCAGGTGGTCGGGGAACTCGGCCAGGTACCTCCACTGTCCGGTCTGCGGGTTGTAGCAGTCCACCGTGACCAGCTCGTCACAGTCCTGGTCGCACCCCCCCACCACCACCAGGATCTCTGCGAGCCCCGTGGACGCCCGCGGACGCATCCTGTGGCACGGCCGGTCGTGGCGGTCGTACTCGCAGGACTGGAAGCTGCGAGCCTCGTTCACCATGCGGAGGCAGGTGGGCGACAGGTAGACCAGCGGGTCGCTCTCCACGTGGGCCAGCAGGAAGAACCTCCGGACGAAGGGCAGGCGGATCTGCTGGAGCAGCTCGGGCCAGTAGTGCAGCCTCCGCTTCATGTCGGCCTTCACCCAGTGCACCGCGATCTGATACACCGCCTCCTCCTTGTTCACGCAAAGCTCATCATCCGACATAAACTCCAGGAGGCGCTTCCAAGGCAACCGCTCAAAGTCCAGCCCTTTGGCCAGCTCCATTATGTTTTTGAGGCCAAAGCGGCGAGCGCTGGTGGCCAGCTCTCTGCAGGCGAACGCCTCGGCAAAGTCCTGGATGTCTAAGCAGTTGGTGACGTCCAGCCGCTGCTCCAGGAACGCACAGCAGGCGTCTTTGACCGAGGGGAACTGAAACAGGTCGGCCGTCTTCAGCAGGACGTCCACGTTATCCTGAGTGACGGTGACCCTCCCCGTGTAGCAGAAGTCCACCAGAAGACCTAAGAGCTCCCCTGACACCTCGTGAAGCACGACTCGGTCCATAGCGCTCTCCTTCAGAGTCCCTGCGAACATCGCTCTGAAGTAAGTGCTGGCGGCGGCCAACACTGTGCGGTGACAGTGGAACTCGCGGCCCTCAGCACACAAAGTCACATCGAAAAACTTTCGCTCTGCACGGAGTTCATGGATCCCCCGCAGCAGGTTGAAGGCGTGGGACGTGTCGAAAAAAGGAAGGGTGGACGGTTGGGTCTGCAACACTGGCTTCTCCATCGCTCCTCTCTCTGGTGTCTCGGTCTCGGGTGTTGTGGTCAGAATGATGATTTAATCTAAAAACAGATAAACATCAGATACACTACATCAAATTACAGCTCAACAAATTACACACCGCTTTATGTTACACACCATGTAGGACAATACTTTCCGTATCGATAAATATGCTGATTGTTTTTGTTCATCAAGAAATTATTAGTCTACGTAATATCAAAAACATTTGTGAAAAAAACGCATCATTTTCGAAAAGGACAAGTTCTCAAATTACTTGTTATGACAAGAAAACGTCAAAAACCCAAACTTTTTTTATTCGACAACCCTTAAGACCAAGAAAATCAGCAAATCCTCACAATTGAGGAACTGGAAGTCTGGATTTTTATCATTGCTACTTAAAAATGTACAAAGGATTTAAGGATTATCAAAGCAGTTGACGATTACTTTTCCGACGCTTGAAGATTCACTTAACTGTCAGATAGTGGCAGCAGCACTTACACCATGTAAGCTGTACAAGTCAAACACAAATGTATACACAGTGGTCTTTAATGGTAAGGGAATAGAGAAATAGTTATTATAATGTTCAACAACTATTAAGTATCAATATAAAAAAACAAAGATCAAAAACAGAGAATTTACATTTCTACAACCTCATTTCCTTCAGTGGTTACTTTAAGAATGTACACAACCAAACATGTGGTAGGCAACGTAACAGCCTACTGACTGAAACACATTAAATCGTGTTGTTTCCCCTACCTGATGAGCCCCTCCAGGCACGTTTGGT